CCTGGTTTCATTTCTTGATAATGCTTGTCTTGTGTGTTTTTTTTTTTTTCATGTCTAAAACTATATATCAAAATCTAGTCATAGCCAAAAGAGCTAGGCTAGGCATCTATCTACTGCTGAGAGGCTTGTTGATATTTACTTACGGTGGGCAAAGAATGAAGAAGTCAAGTTGGTTGAGGGAGCAGAAGCAAGTTCTAATATCTATAGCTATTCAGTAATAAAACAGATGTGGGATTGTGTTTTTATATTTTAAGTGTGGTTTTCACTCCTGCCAAGTTTTTCTCTATGTGTTTCTTTTTCCTCTAAAGCTTACCTTTGATCTTATAATGACAAAGTCAAGAATACTGCTGGGCAATTCTTTACAAAGTGGAGTGTAAACACACTGAATGTATTACCTTAAGTGCTAACAAAGGCTGTAACAAAGAGGGTCCAGAAAGATTCAGCAAAATTCATAGATGATAGATCCATACTGGGTTATTAAGGAAAACTGAGATGCTCCTTTCACCCACCAAATTTCTAGAAAGCAATGGCCATATTCTACGGACAGAAAGGTGAGAGGCGAGAGGGTGGGGGAAGTTACTCTAACTCCTGTGCTGCACAAGCACAGGATTCTCATCTTATTATGGCACACAGAAGAGGGTGTTGCAATTTTATCAGATGGTTTACATTCATGTTTTCCCAAACGGTATGTGAGCTCCTCGAGGCAAGTGTCCTGTCATTGCATCCTCAGTACCTAATCCAGGACATGACACCCAGGAGGCATTCAATAGAATTGCTCAATTGGTGAATGAATACTATCTATCCCTATAGCCTCACCATCTACTCACTGCTTAGTCCTGGCATTCTGGCTCCCAGTTCCATCCCAGTATTGAAAAGATGCTCTTAAAAAGTCACACAGAAAGCTCCAAATGGCAAATCATCGGTCTTTATCCTTTTTGATTCCACTATAGCGTATGTCATTGTTGAAAATTCCCACCTTTTCTACCTTCTTAATACTTCCCTCTTTCTTTGCTTCTAGAACAATAATGTCTTGATTCTCCTCCCACCTGCCCAATTGCTCCTTGTCTATCTTCTTTGCTAGTTCTGCTTTTAGCCCCTAAGTGGAGGCATTTTCAAAGTTCTGGTTTTGGATCTCTTTTTTGTTGATAATCATTCCAACAATCTCTTCCATTTCCATACTGTAACCAGAAACCTCACGAACTCAACCATCTCGTGATGAAACCTACGTTCATATTTCCAAGAAACTTCTGGACATCTTGACCTCAATGCTCTGCTACCACTTTCAGTTTCACTTGCCCAAAACTGGATTTATCTTCTATCACTACTCCTTTTCCTGATCTTAATAGTTTTCTCTCGTAACCCAACTATCCTCCCAGCTAATCAAACTCAAAACCCTAGGATTATCTTTGACTCCTGGCTTCTCCTCTTCCCTTGAATTATTTCCTTTACTAAGAATATGACAGTAGAATTCTAATTCACCACTCACACTCCTATAGATTAAATGTCCTACTATATAGCTTTGACTATGTTCCTCCACTAAAAACCTTCAATATATCCCCATTGCCTAAAGATTTATATGCTAACACCGTAGTCTCTTATTCAAGCACTCTATGATATGGCACCAATCTGCTTTTCCAGAATTATCTCCATACTTTTACATTTAATATAGCCTACTTTCTTACTAGCTATACTATTTGCCATTCTCCCAAAATGCTTTGCACTTTCTTACCTCTGTATTTTCCTTTGACTAAAATGCCCACTATCCCCACCTCCAACCCTCACTGCTGAAATCCATACTCATCCTTCAAAGCCTTTTCCTCCATGATTCTTTTTCTGATATATCCAATAAAGCATGATATTTCCCTCTGAACTCACATAGTATGTTATTAACATCTCTTGTATAATACCCACTATCGTCTGCCTTATTCTGTAGTCTCTCTGTACTTTTTATCTTTCCTACAAGACACAAGGGTCTTATACCTAAGGACATCTTATCTTAATTATTTCTGCATCTTCCAGCATGTCTAGCATATTACTTTTCACAGGACAGATGTATAAGAAATTAATGAATGTTTAGGGGCTCATTTCCTAATCTCTGAGTTTGATATTGGTAAAGCCTGTAATGTGGGTTGATATTCAGCCAGTACACACTAGTACAACAATGGTGGCTACTTAGTGCCTGTGTACATTCTGACTGGTTGGGGCCTGCGCTATACCAGTTGTTAATATTTTCAATATCACTCCCGATATGATAGTCTCCCTTGAAATGTCTTTTGGTGCCCGTAACTGAAACAGCGTACTCAGCTGAATGGGCTAGAGGCAATATTTGAGAAGTTCTTCTGAGTCACGTAATGTGGTAGCTCTTGGGGAGGGGACACGGGCTCAGTGTGGAAGATCTGTAATTTAGGCAACTAGTCATACCATTTATTAACATTTTGATTTTCTAATGAAGAATACAGACTATCACTTCATTTTGTTCAAATATGGAATTGAAAACACTGCAATGAGAAGTACGATTGTAGAGCTCTGTATTTTACATACCATACTTTTCATCTGTAAGCGATGAGAATAGAGATGGCAAGCAGAGCAGTACATCTTTGCTGTTTGTGGTTGACTCTGATTTCAGATTTTTTGGCTATTTCCTCTTATTTTTCTTTACTTGGAGAAAATCGCCTTCTTTATAATTTGGTCTTTCTGCTTTTATTTCATCATGTTGAAGTGGACGTTATTGGAAAGGAGCAAGGATGCCGGTGTTGAACAGGGAAAGTGTAACAATATAAAGTCAATGGGATCTTGGAAAGGAACCAAATAAGATGCCTAAGAAAGTGAAAACAAAAGGGGGCCAAGAGGAAGAGATAATCTAGCTAGGAAAGGCAGAAACAGGGAGGAAATCTGGACAAGTCCCCAGTTCTGTTGCTTCTAGAAAGAGGCAAGCAGACGGGAGAGTTTTGGCAGACTTGTCAACTCTGTGCCTGCCTTCCCCTATCCCTCGCTTCAAGCTCTGATGTCCAAGATGCTTTACCAATCATCGCCACTGTCTGCCTTCTAGTTTCTTTTTACCGTTGGACATTTGAATTGGTTACTGCCACTTGGTATGACTGCCAGGGCTAAATGGACTGGTATTTTTGACCCTATGTGTCCATGGAGGCACTCCAGCTACAAACCAAAGGAGATCCCAATTTAGATTACTTGGAATCAGTACTACAAAATTATGCAGTTGTGAATATATTCTTGGTTTCACAGTTTACAACACTATATTCCCTTGAGTACCAACTCACAGAAACCCCATGGAATGATCTCTCTCCCGGTACAGTCTTTCTAGAGTCAGTATGAGGTGTGAGACTAATCAGACAGGGGCCTTAGCAAATGTATTTTAAAAATAATCATCCTAGAAAGATGGTAGCAGTTCTTTTATGGCACAGAATAACGTGCTATTACTTATCAGTTGCTTAACAGAGAACTGAATTGATATAAATATTATTTTAGTTTGCTTTTCACTGACTATTAATGCTCTGATAGTTCAAGAAAGAGCAGTGAAGGTTTCTATTTTCCTTAAGAGGTGCAAGGGGCCTCTGATAGCATGGTAGAACATTCTCATCTTACAGATAAAAGATTGAGCATAGATGGAATGGCTGCCTCATAGTTACAGATTTGTAGTGCTCCTAACATTCCGCCATGCAGCATTACCTTAAAAAATTAATATGAACGTATAAATATAGATTTTAATTTTCTTCCCTCCTGTCTTCCACTCACTCTTTTTGTAGGCCATCTTCAGTGTCTTCACATCCACAAAGCAGTCTTATACTCCAAGCAAAACACTTCTATCCTCTCAAACAAATCTTACTTCAGGCTAATCTACTCATTAGGATTCACCCAAACGTGAAAAAGATGAACATAACTTGTATTGTCTTCTGCCATGAATTTCACCATTGCCAAAAGCTTTTCCTGGATAACCACACTGGGCTCCATTTCTTTCACGGTTTTGTTGGAGTACAATGGTTTGAGAGCTACCAATTTCCATTCTAATGTCATATGAGAGTTTTCAGTCCTAATACAGAATATTCTTTGAATTGTAGGCTATTCAAGGCAAATCTTATTAACCTAAATTAAGTAGAGTTTATATATTTATTATTAATTTTCCTTTTTTCATTTACTTCTCCATATAGCTTTACAGCCCATGGAGACGACTTTTAAAACCAACACCCCTAATTTCTTCCTCTACTTCAAGAAATATATGAACTAAAAATATAAAAACGTACTTAGGGTAGATGGATAGCTCAGCCTACTTGAATTATCCTGAGAGGAGCTATTATTTACCTCAGCTACAGGGTATGAACCGAGAAGGCGGACAACTTTGTTGTTCCACTCGAGTGAGGGAGGTTGTTTTGCTTCTTTTGTTTTTTAATCCCCCTGAGATCAATTTTCATAGTGTGGCTTTGTTACTACTCAAAGACACACAAAAAACAATTCCAATGCTTTGGGACTTTTGGGAATCTTGGATTATCTGTGCCTCTCCTCTCTTTCTTTAACATGGAGAATGGAGAATAGACTGTATGGCAAAGCCAAAACAGTCTCTAGAAAGAAGCATTATCTCGGTTTCCTTACCTGTAAATAGCTAATGTGACATCCTTAGGGCCAATTACTTTTAATGATTTAATTATATTTATGGTTTTAAACTACCTTCCACCCAAACCACATGCTCATAAAATAACAATTAAAAATATTTAATATTAAACACAGTGGGAGTCCTTCCCTCTGGTTTTTTTGTTGTTGTTGTTGTTGTTTTTTTTACATAGTCTACTGTTATTTGAAGATACTTTTACCAGGTTGAAACTTGTGATCATGTAGATGTAGAAGCCTGCTGAGATTTCACACGTGAATTGAGATCAACTGTTGAAAAAAAGTCTTCATGGGGAAGGTTGATTTTTTTTTTTTTTTTTTGTACTTGGCTCTGAACAATTCACATTTTACAATACCATGTGAGCAGGAATAGGTTTTACCTGGATTCCTTGGAATCCGCTTTCTGCGGTCTCGGAATGCTGCACCTGACTGTAGGGCTTCTAGAAGATTATCCATCACACCAGTCTCATCACCCTCTGGAGAAAAGGAGAAATTGGAATTAATCTTGGAGCAATTAAAGTTAAACTACAGGAAAATAAAGAGAAAAACTCCTGTCAGATTTACATAATACCCCTAAATTAAAGACATATATCTGTTTTAACATAATGGATCCTGTCAGTTGCTGGCACTACAGACTACTTTGCTTATTACACACCATTAAGCAAAATTCATGCCAATCCCACTGTTCTTTCAACTTAAAGACCTTGTCTTTTGTATTATTGATGACACGCTCAGTATGCAAATAAACAGTAGCTGATCAGCTACTGCTGTCTTCCTGTTAAGATTCTTATAAGATATTCCTAAGCAAGAAACTACTGACCCAGCTTAATGCAATCAATGCGCAGGGCGTGATTTGATGAAGCAGAGTTACACAAGGTTAAATACTGATTGTATTAATACCTTCAGCATTCAACCTTCATCTGTGATGATCTCAAAAGACACTATTTGCAAAACACATTTGCATTCACTTCCTGTCTAATCCATATTCCTTACCCATTTCCAAATGCTGACACTGTAGAAGGAAAAGGTGACCACATCATCTGAAAGGCCACATTTTACATTTGAGAGACATTAGCCAGAGTCTCATCATCCCTTTTAGAAAGCTGTTGTGTTTCTAAACTTTTCCTATGAGAAAGAACTGTTAAGAATCTATGAGCGGAGTACTCAAAAGATGTTAATGGAAATTCCTAATGGAAATGTATTTAAAACATTTCAGTCTACTCTTATCTTTGACAACTCTGACCATCAAAAACACTTTTAAGATTTGTTAGAGCATTTGTCTCAAGGTGTCAATTGCCAGAAACTCTCTACTACAATGTGGATAATCCACAGGGAGCTGAGGCCCCTCTTCCTAACTGGCCTAGCTGATGAAAAGGAGCCTAACTAGATGGTGGTTAATCTGCGTGGTAGTTAAGTGTGTGGGTCTGCGGTAGAGGACATTTGTAGGCAGGAGGGTTAAGAGAAGAAAAAGGGAGCAGTGAGGGAGAAGAAATTGTTTCTGATGCTATTCGAAAGTTAAATTTAAATCCTACTTTGTTTAAAGGATTGACTGAGGGGTATCAGATCACAGCAAAAAGATTCACTTATGGGGTAAGAACAAGCTAAAATCTTTTTTGATTACGTTCTTCATTTGACTTGAGATTTCTTCAATGTTACAATCATTTATTCTTTTAAAATGAATTCTCTAGGACAGGATATTGAATGAAAAAATAAAGGGAAACACAGAGGTTCTCAGGTCTAATATTTGGTGAAAACAGGAAAAATAAAAGGAAAGTAGAACCCCAGTGACTAAAGAGGGAAAAGGGACTGTGCACTTTTAGGAATATTAAGGCTGCAGACACATCTGAACCATTACCTGCTCTTTACAATAGAAAGAAAAGAAGAACTAAAACTAGTTTGGCATGGCTGTAATGTATCTGGGAAAATTAAATTTTATGCAGTAGGCACTTTACATTTGTTATATCTTTTAATCCTCCCAACGACACACTGAAATAGGTATTATCTCTGTTTTTCAGTTGGGAATACTGAAATTGAAAGAGTTGAAGCATCTTGCTCCAGGGGCCCAGGTATGAACCCAGATCAATCTGACACCAAGACTAACCCTCTTTGCATGACAGCTAGCAGAAGATGAAATAGACTAGGCATATGGTGGCCAGATGATGAAAGATCATAACTCTGTGATATGGGTTTGGGCATTAACCTATAAGCCAGCACTGTCGAAATATGAGCTACATAAATAATTTTAAATTTTCTAGTAGCCGTATTAAAAGAAAAAAAACAAGAGAAATTAATTATAATATATTAAGTAAATATTTAACTCAATATATACAAAATATTATATATTTTTACATTCTTTTTATCATACTAAGTCTCAGAAATCTAACATGTTTTTATTTCAGCACATTTCACTTCAGATTAGCTACATTTCAAGTGCTCAATAGCTTTTTGTGGCTCATGGCTACTGTATTGGGCAGTGTGGCTATAAGCAATAGAAAGTGACTTGATCAGATTTACATTTTAGAAGGACTTGTCAGACAGCGCTATGGAGGATGACTCAGAAGATGGCATGACAGAAGGGAGGAAGATGTTTAGGAGTGTAATGTAATTGTCTAAGGAAGAGATAAAGGGCTGAACTAAAGGGATAGCAGAGTGAAAGGAGAAGATAGATATTTTAAAGGTATTAATACAGTCAATAGGACCTGGCTGGAAGGGTGAGATCAAGGGAGAAGGAAGGATTCTAGATGACCAGGGACTAACAGGTTTGAGAAAATGTTATGATTGTTTTGAGATTTTTTTTTTCAAGGAATATGTAAGTAGAGATATCCAGTAAGAAGTTGGAAATATGAGTCTGGAACCCAGGAGTGGAGTCTAGGCTAGAGCTAAAGATTTGAGTGCTGTGGGAATATGGATAAGTTTACCATGAGATAGTGGATGAGAAGAGGAGGGGGCATAGGATGCAATTCCTGAGGACCCCAATTTTTAATAGGCAGTCAGGAGAAGCAGAACTGCAAAGAAGACATGTAAGGAATTTTTAGAGATAAGAAAGTACAACCAGAAGAGAACTACAGTACAACTGAATTTCATGTATCCTTACAAAAATAGTCATTATAAAGACTGTATAGAAAGATGAATATATGTATAGAAGTGACAAGACTAGAATACAAAACAGCATGTATTTATGATTTTACATAAATAATATGCAAAGATGAAAAAAGTTTTATAACATAATGACATTATAGATGCCATTTCATTAAAATTCTTTAATGCTACTATATCGTGTATAGACTAAAAAGATGGAAAAAAACAAATATAAAGTAGAGAGGAAGTAAAAATAAATCCCTTTGTTTAATTTAGTAGTTGCCATCTGACAATACTTATCAAAATATTTTGTTAGATCACTGTTTCTCAACTTTTTTTTTTTCATTATTATTTCCCCTCTCCTCCCAAGGATCCTTTATAGACATCTTTTTCCTAATCCCCCCACTGTTAAAATTTAATACCACAGACATACTGTGTGCCTGTTTCTGTAATGTGGCCCTTTGGAGAGCCACAAACCACTGTAATATCTAAGATTTTTCTCTGCCCATCTCTCCAAGAACCAGTATTCATCCCCTTGGGAGTGATAATGCCCCTGCTAAGAAGGCATATGCTAGATGGTTCTGCTACAAAAAAAAAAGGCCAGGTCTTTGTAAACATCACTGATGTATTAAAGGAAAGAAATGTAAGTTTCAATCCACCATTACTTTTTCATTTGCTTCATGATAACTTTCAAAGGAGCTGACAGATTTTCATGTTATCTCTAAACCCAAGGAATGAAGGTTTTATGAATATATCATAGAATTGATTTATATTTCAGTTAGTCTTCCTAAAACAAAATGGAAGCCAATGTGATCATTTGAAAGAAATTATCCTTCATTTTAAACAAATTTCAGTGAAATTTGGTATGTGATTAAATTGTCTAAGGTTGATAGCTCACTTAGAATTTCCAAGTTCATAGAATCATTATGAATTCTTACTTAGATGTGATTAGTAGTAAGTAGCTATTTTTACTTTTATTTTTTGGTCTACGAGGTGAAACTCAGGAAAAAATCTTTTAAGTGTTTTTTTGAAAAGGAAAATAGCTTTATTGAATTACATCGAAAAATGTGTTTTCTTACAACTTACAATACCTAATTTTACTGAGTGAAAGAATATCAAGGGGAAATTTGGTAATGCTTTTTAGCCAATAAAATGGTAATATATGGGTATGTCTGAGAAGTAACAATTCAGAGGCACCTTTCTAATCTTTCATCCTGAAATCAGATAACAGACAGTATTAAGGAGCTAGGCAGGCTGCTTGCAGTCCTATGGGCTCTGTGTGAGCCACTTATCTTTGGGTAAAATGAAAGGCATGGGGGTTGTACCTTCTATTTCATGTTTCCAACAGTGTTGGTCATTCAGTGGATGCTGAATGCCTGCTGATCTCAATTTTCAGCATCAACAGTCACCTGTGTTGTGTTGACTTAATTTCCCCAGAGGAGTTTGAACATGCCACAGATTAAAATTAGCACTAGATAAATTAATTATCTCTGCTATACCTTTGTGCAAGACTATTCCCCGATGGCTAGCACAAACTTATTTAGAGGCAATCCTCTATGGGTTTCTCACATTTCTGCACATTCTGTGAGCACAGACATTGATGGCCTTTATTCTGGACTATCTCTTCAAGGATGTTTTTATAGTGAAAAGCCTTGAAAGACATAGTGTCTTCCCCCAGAGCAGAGGGCAAGTTTGCTTTGAAAACAAATTATATCTCCCTCTAGGGCACAGGTCAGGTAGATTTGCTTTCAGTCTATTATAAAAGATTTGGGTTTCCTAAGCCTGGGTTCCTCAGCAGTGACACAAACCCACTGTGTGCATAGCATCCACCTGGGCCCACATGGGCGTCACCCTATGGGAGCTGGAGGGCAAGGGAAAGCAATGCAAACATGAAGCTCACACTGCTTTCTCTAATGTGAATAACAGAGTTCTTTGGCTCTGACCCAGGAGCCTTGTGTCTTCTGCCAGCATCTCTGAAACTGTGGCAGGCTGACTTTTTAGCATGCAAGTAGGGTAAAATCTCTGAGCCTTCATAGTTTTTCAAAATGCTCTGAGCTATCCTTTCCTTTTATCAAACATTATTAATTAGAATATTCCTTATTCCTCTAGGAACCTAGTGCCTTGGACTTCCCCATTAACTGAGGCCCAACTCCAGTTCATTATTCCTCAAAAACGACTAAACTAAAGCTAATACTATAAAAATCATCTCCTAAGATCCTAACAACCTGGGCATAATGGCTTTAACTCACTATAATAGCCTCCTTGAATTCTCAATTGTATAATTAAGGCTTTCTGGAAAAGTTGAGCTGCTCAAAGTTGAAGAAGTCGCCATCAACCAATCAGTGTAAGTGACCCAAAAGAAGCAACAGACTTCTTACAGAGGGTAAGACCCTAC